TTCTACAAACCCTGTAAAGTGATGTTGACTGCATTGCTGAACTCTTTTAACATAGACTCACACCAGTACACTCCGTCATCTGAATATGTTGTGTCGATTGTGCATACAGATTCTCCTGACAGCCAAAAGTTGCTACAATATGGCCGGCCATTCTCTGGGAACTTCCTCACTCTCCATGAAGAAGAGTTTCCCTTACAAGTCAGTTTGACAAAGTCAGAGCCAAAATTTTGCACTACAGGGCCGACTGTGAGAGACGCTGCTGATGAAGCATCTGAAAAACAACATGGATCAATAAGTGAAAGCACAGGAAGAACAGGAAGAACACATAAAAACTAAGCATCATTACAAGTATTGAGAGACAGAAAGAAACTGACCAGCAGACCAGACAAACTTTGGATCGCTGTAGTAGGTGTAGTAGTAGTTGCTTCCTCTTTCCGCTCTGCACACATATGCTGCTGTGCTTGTCTGCCCAGTAATGATGTACAAACTCTGAGCAGTCTTGCTGCCATCAGGTAGCAGCTCATATGTGTAGGGCTCCTCTGTTATTTTATAATAAGGAACAGCTTTATACCAGGAGAAGCTCCATCCTTCAGAAGGATATTCAACCTCACAGTTCAGAGTTACTGAGGCTCCAGGACTGAGCCATGAGGGAGACAGAGTGAGGACAGGATGCAGTTTAACTGTTGAAACAAGATTTTTTTATTATTACAAATTTTTTTTTTTTAGATTAGGCTTATATATTTATGTATTTTTTAAAATAATATTGCTAGATGATAGGTCTGCAAATCAGGCCAGGTTCACTCTGTCCTTTTGAACACTCATCTTATTGTATATATATATTATATACTCATCTTATCATCTGGTTTAGTGTCTGTTCACTTTTGAACAAAAACATTTAAATAACTGGATGAAAACATGTAAATAAATATCACCAAATCTTGACAGTGGAATTACAAACTGTACCACTGTCATACATAATACTAATTTGTAATTGTTGTCATTTGAACCACACCATGTCACAATAAGCTGTGTGTGGCACACATAAAGTTACACACTGGAGAACACAATAACAGACACTGAGATACAACTGGAAAAACACGACATTTAGATTTGACAGACTGAGAGGGAGTAAAAAAAGGGAAATTTGCACAAAGATGCTGAAGACAGAACATGGAGATCAGACAAGGCATGAAAAAGGGAACCAACATAAAACAAGAAGTCCAGTGCTATAGCTACCAAATTCAGAGAAAAAACACACATTCTAGAACTGGAACATAAATAATTTCTTAACTCCAAGGCAAAGAATCACATGTTCAGAACAAACTCAAAATACTGGGTCATTATTTAATGAATCAGTCAAGTGACTGGACTTCTTTAAGTCCATTCAATAAACTTAAAGAAGTCGAGTTGCTTTT